GCCCTAATGTCAGAAGAGACCATTTGGACATACCCTACCCCTTCCTGGGAGGTGCCCAGGGCTGCCCCCACCCGCCACCTCTCCAGGGTTTGCCTTGCACACGGCGATCCATGTTTGAGTCCAGCACCCCACAGAGTCCTCCTGAGCGCCCAGGAGTGATCCCTGTGCACTGCTAAGTGTAGCTGCCCTAGTTCCTACTCAGAAGAGAGAACGAGAAAACAAAGAGACGAGAAGCCTAGACTTGCCCTGGGCTGAGGCCTCTTGCACACAGGGGCCACCCGGCCACATCAGAAGCATCCTGGGCCATCCTCTGCCCCTCCCCGGACTCCCCAGTGACCACAGCCTTCTGTCCCTGACATTGGGTGATGTGTGACGTGCGTGGCCCCGTGCTCTTGCCGTGCCTTGTGTGGGAGCGTGCTCTATGCACCATGTGAGTGCCAGCTTCTGAGGCTGCCACGGATGGCAGCACGGCAGGACTTTTATTTGGTTTTTCACTTGGGGCCACACTGGCAGTGCTCAGGGCTTACTTGTGACTGTTACTTACTTGTGATCCTCAGGGATCACTCCTGGTAGGGCTCAGGGGTAGGAGGGGACAGAGCCCGGCAGCCCAGCACTGGTGCTATGGCTGTGCTGCATCACGAAGGGGGCCGTGGTGACCAGGGGACACTGGCTTGGCGGGTGCTGGATGAAAGATGTCCCGCTGGGCCTGTGGATGGCCTGTCAGTGCCATGACGCTGTGCAGGGATAGCTGTTTGCTGGCTGAGCGGGTGCGGTGCTGAAGGAGCTTGGTATGTGTGGGATGTCACAATGCCACGCCCAGTGTGGTGTGTGTCCATGAATGACCTGCTGTATGTACACTGGTGCCTGAGTGTGCGTCCGTCTGGCGCCGGGCCACGAGAGCTGGTTTCTCATCCTCGCGGACCACCGCGTACTCCAGTGGGACTTAATGTCATCACGGAAAGTGGGGCAGGGTGGGGTGTCTGAGGGATCCAGCCAGGTTCTTTTATTTTTCTCTGATCACACGGGGGGGTGGAACCGAGGAACTCGGATGCACGGCGGACGCTCTGCCGAGAGTGGCCAGCCCGCGTCTCCACTGCGGGTCACAAAGGAAGCTCTGGGGACCTTGCAGGGACTTGGGACCTTGCAGGGACTTGAGGTTGCACAGGCTGCTCCTATCCTGTCCTGAGAGTCCACACCCCAGGGGTCCCCTCCATGCCCTTCCCTTTGTCAGCTGCACCTTGTCCTGCCCCTATGTGCAGAGAGCTGCCTGAGAAGCCCCCCCTCCCATCAGCAGGCTCTGTGGCCCTGCAGGTGGGCGTGGGACAGTCCCTTCCGCCTGCCACAGAATCAAGTGTGGGCTGCGGGTGAGCCCAGTCTACACCCAGGCGGCCACAGGAGGAAGAACAAGGAGGTCTCCTGGCCCACCCCCAATCAACAGCCCCATCATTTCTTCTGATAGCACTGGGGCCGACCCAGGATCGATCCCCACCATCCCCGGTGGTCACCGAGCACCGCCAGGACTGATTCCTGAGTGCAGAGCTAGGAGGAACAAAAAAAGAACCAGATAGCACTCGAGGCTGGAGCACACGGCAGCGGGGAGGGCTGTGGGGAGGGCATTTGTCTGCTTGGCTGACTCCATCCCCAGCATCCCAAACGGACCCCAGCAGCATCCGGAGTGACTGCTGAGTACAGAGCCAGGAGTGCAGACCTCTGAGCACCACAGGATGTGGACTCCCCCCAAACAAGTAACAAAGTAAATTTAAATAAGGCACAATCAAATAGAAACAGTACATAAATCAAAGTTTACTTTAAAACAGGTAAATGGTAAAGGCCCTCCCGTTGATCTTCGATTTGCTCGAGCGGGCCCAGTAACGTCTCCATTGGAGACTTTGTTGTTACTGTGTCTGGCATATCGAATACTCTCGGTAGCTTGCCGGGCTAAAACAGAAAAGATGAAAATAGAAATATAGTGCATTTTTTTTTTTGGTTTTCGGTGGAGGAACTTTGCTCTAAAAAAAGGTGGAACTGACCAAATAATTCAGGGTACCTCTACCTCGGAGGACATGAGCTGGTAGAAGCAACCCTCGCTTCCATTTGCGTCGCCCTTTTGTCATCTGAGTCACTCCTTACTAGCTGAGAGGCAGCACCACTATGAAGGCTCAGCAAGGAATTAAGTCTTGAAGCATTTTCGTTAAATCACTGTAAGTCCCTTAGGATTTATGTTTTTTTCTTTTTCTTTGGGGGGGGGGCACATCCAGCAATGTTCGGCGCTTACTTCTGACACTGCTCAGCAATCACAAAAAAGAGGCATGGTGAGGGGGCTTTCCTGGCCAGGGCACAGGGGAGAGTTCTGAAAGTGAAGAGTCAGCGTTCTGGAATCCAGAGGACACCAGCCTCTGTGAGCATAGTGTGAGGAGATTTACAGTGAAATGGCAACAACTGAACGGGAAACTGCAGCCTGCTTTCTCCGACGGGAAGCGATTATGAAATGAACTAGGGGAAATGTCATGTTCCCCAAGAGAAAGGGAGGGAGGGGCTGGCGCGACAGTGCAGTGGTTAGGGTGCTTGCCTTGTATGCGGCTGAACCTGCTTCAATCCCCAGTACCCTATATGGTCCCCTGAGCCCAGGAGGAGTGATCCCTGGGCCAAAGCAAACACAACAGAGAAGTAAACACAGTAGCAGAGGTATATGACATATGTGAGGAAAGCATCATCATTGTTACAGACTCAAGAGAGTCCAGATCGGTCTGCCACCAACAGACAAATATTTGCTTTAGCAAAGGACCAGCCTCTGGCCACAAGTGCCCTGCACACACTTGCTGGGAGGGTCAAGACAGAGTGTTGCGGCAGCGCAGGGGGAAGCGTGTTCCCCTTTACTACCCCGCTCTGAAGGAGCCTAACAGGCAGGAGAGCATCTCTCCCACACTGGGGCAATGATGGGTGGCGCAGTTGAGAGGTGGCAGGGGAGGTGACACGCAGGGGGGGAGGGGGGGTTGGGGGGGGCTACACTACAGCACAGGGCCCAGTCACAGGAGCCCGACACATGCCACCAAGGACATCATGTCCTGTTTTCTGCACATCTTCCACAAAGAGCCCCCTGGCCACAGGCCTTCTGCAAATAGGTTATGGATTAACTGCCCTTGGAGGTGCTGCTTCTCCTCATTTTCTATTGATCAAATCGCATTCTAAAAAACACACTTGCCTTGCTTGTGGCTAAAGCAGGCCCAATTCCTGGCACCCCATAGGGCCCTCTGGTACCCTGCCAGGCAGGATCCTTGAGCAGAGCCAGGAAGAAGGCCTGGGCACAGAGGGTGTGGCCCAACCCTACCCCACCCCCATAAAAAGGTTTCTCTCGGTGCTGATGTGGAGTGCTCTCTGAATAGGCGTACTCCCCAGCAATGCTGGTGGTCACAGGGGACGCACACGAACCAAGCAAAACAGAACCCCGAGCAAACATGCCGAAGGCGGGGCTGTTGGGGAAATGGCAACTGGGCTGCACCTTTTGTGGTTCCCCAACTGCCCAGGGGAGGGAGGCCAGCTTACAGCCCAGGCCACCACAACCCCCTCGGGCAGAGCAAAACCACGCTCCTTAAGGACACGTTGGTGCAGTTTCGTCACTCCAGGCCTGGGAAAGGCTCAGGGCTGCGGCCTGGACGCTTCTTGCCCGGAACCTGGGAAGTCGGAACATGCATCTCCCTGGCTGTAATGCGGGAAAAGGAGCAAGTTCATATGATAAGCCAAACCCGGCGCCAGTCTCAGGAGTGGAGGGGGAGGAACCCAGTATCACGGGGTGCACAAAAATAGAACAAGCGAAGAAGAGCGCCCTGGAGGAAAGGGATACTATTCAAGGTCAGGAAGATAAAAAGGAAGCCAGCAGCCCAAAGATTGCTTCATGGGAACCTTCTAAAATTAGGCTGTGGAGACCATAGGTTACTGAAGTACCAGGGTCTCCGGAAGCCGAGTCCAATCAAGGCGGAGTAATTTTGCGTTCTCTGAAACGAGAAGCGAGTCCCTGCACATTGACACAGGTACCAGGCCGTGCCCTGGGAACTGGCGCTCAATGAGAGGCAACCTGCTTTACCGAGAGGTCTGAAGACAATTTTTGATTTCCTGGGCATTGCGTCTGGCACTAACGCTAGTTCTTGGTTAGGCTTTTATGCGGAGCACTAGGAAAACGGTTGCTTGAATTAGCCATTAAACCACGGGTTTGGAGTTTTGTTGGTTTGGTTTTGTATTTCGGCGCCACGCCCGGCAGTGCTCAGAGCCCACCTGGGGGCCGAAGCAGAGTTGGGGGTGGGGGCCCTGCAGGGTGGGGGCCTGAGCTGGGTCCGCTCAGCCGGCCCCGGGGGCTGACTAAGACGTAAGACCAGGCGTGTCAGAGAAAACTGCCCACGACTTCCAACTGTGCCTATAAGGCTGGGTCGGTACCACGGCGCGGAGCGGCATCACGTGCTGGGGCCGTTTCAGACACGGCGGAGGCTGCGTGTCCTTCGAGGCGGCGCTGCCAGGCGGCATCGGGGCCGCGGTGCACACGCCACGGGGACCAGCGCTCCGGGGTTCGGCCGAGCTGCTCCGCGCCGACCCGGAAGGGCGTTGCCGAGACCGAAGGTTCCGGGGCGGCCCGGCCTCCTGCAGCGCCCCGACCCCGCCGGTGTCCGGCTCCCGGAGACGCTACCCGCACCGAGCCGCCACGACCGAGGCTGCACATAGGAGCGGCGCGCGCCGCACGGCCGGAAGCGATCTCGCCCCGCGGCCCCGGGCGCGCGTTGATGGCGTCAGCCACCCCTGCCCCGCCCCGCCCTCACGGCGGCCAGGCCTGTTGGGCGTGAGTCACGTCCGTCGATCGCTGGCCCCGTGCAGGCGGGGAGGGCGGGCCCCGAGGCCGAGCGCTGCGCTTCGAGAGCCAGCTTCCGGCGGCAGCGCGGAGGCTGCTGGGAGAGCGGAAGTTGGCCCGGAAGTTGCGGCCAGGCGGCGGCGCGGAGGCCGCCGGGAACCCGGAAGTGGCCGATGGCTGGCGGGGCCGTGTGGGTAGTGGCGCGGGGCTGCCGGCGAGGTGAGGGCGCGGCGGGGGCAGCGGGGCAGCGGGCACTGTGGGCACGCTCTCGCGCCCCCAGCGGGAGCGGGGTCAGTGTACGGGGGTCAGTGCGGGGCCCGCAGTCGGGCCGGGCAGCGAGGAGACGGCGCCGGTCGCCGTGTCTGCGCTGTGGACGTTGGCGCAGGGGGCTCCCAGCGCCGCGGGGAGCAGGCCTGGGGGTCGGAGGAGACGTGGAGGCCAGAGGGGACAGTACCGCGTGCCCCTTCGCGAGCAGCTGGCCGGGCTGTCGGCTGCACTTCAGCTGTGGAGGCTGGTGAAAGGGTGAGCTCCGCCCACCTCGGGCTGGGGCGAGGGGCTGGCAGCGTGGGGATGTGGGCCCCTGGGTGCAGGGTGCGGGGACGTGGGCCCTGGGTGTCAGCGTGCGGAGCGTGGATCCTGGGGTGTCAGGGTGAGGGGGCGTGGCCCCTGGGTGTCAGCGTGGACTTGTGGGCGCCGGTGGTGTCAGCGTGCGGGGCATGGCCCCTTAGGGTGTCAGGGCGAGGGGGCGTGGCCCCTGGGTGTCAGTGTGGGCATGTGGGCGCCGGTGGTGTCAGCGTGCGGGGCATGGCCCCTTAGGGTGTCAGGGCGAGGGGGCGTGGCCCCTGGGTGTCAGCGTGGGCATGTGGGCCCCTGGGTGCAGGGTGTGGGGGCGTGGGCCCTAGGTGTCAGCATGCAGAGCGTGGTTCCCGGTGGTGTCAGCGTGCGGGGCGTGGCCCCTGGGGTTTCAGGGTCGACACCGTGCGGTGTCAGCGTGCGGGCGCTGTCACCCGGGTGGAAGGGCGTGGCCTGTGGACTGGTTCCGAGAGGAGGGGACAGCTCTGATCGTCTCTGCCGCTGGCCTGACAGGGGCAGAAATCTTGGGGCTGGCCAGCTTGTCTCTGTCCCATGGTTCTCCCTCCGGTGACCCCAGGGACTGCGGGGTGCCCCTCCCCGAAGACTAATCCTGCGGGGACGTCCAGACTGAGCTGTGGCTCTGGCGGACCACGATCCCGCCCTGTAGCCGGCGCCTGACCCAGCGCGGCGTGGCGGGCTCCTTCTGGTCACGCTGATGGCGTCTTCCTGAAGTCTTCCTCTCTTTTCCCAGTTTTGGAAAGAGGGTTTTCTCTGCGTGCAGCACGGCCCGCCGCAAGCATGGAGAGTGCCGAACGGCTGGTGAGGGGACTTGTCCCTGCTCTGACCCACGACAAGCACAAGGGCATGGACGGCAGAATCGGCGTCGTGGGGGGCTGCCAGGAGTGAGTGACGGGGAAGCGTGGTGGTCCCGGGGGCCTGGCTGTGAGTACCCTCGCTGACAGCTGTCTCTTTCTCCAGGTATACTGGTGCCCCATACTTCGCGGCGATCTCAGCCCTCAAAGTGGTACGTGTGCTTTGGGGGTGGCGGGGGCAGCCCTGGGGCTTCCCGGGACAGCAGGGGACAGTCCTGGCTGTGGCGGTGCCCTGCCCTCAGCAGCCACTGTGCTCTCGCAGGGTGCAGACCTGTCCCACGTGTTCTGTGCCCGGGATGCAGCACCGGTCATCAAGTCCTACAGCCCTGAGCTCATCGTGCACCCGGTCCTGTGAGTGCCCCGCATCCCCCTGTGACAGGCACGATGGGCAGGGGTGCTGTGGGCCTCAGGACACCCAGCCTGCGACGGGCAGCTCTGCGGAGGGTCACTCGTGTCTGACCACGGGTCCGAGCTTCTCCCTTCGGGACACTGTGCCGTGGGTCATGTGTCCCCCTGACATGGTAAAGCAGGAGAACAGTGTGGGGTGAGGCGGGAGCAGGGTACGAGGGTCCAGCAGGAAGACAGTGGGGATAGTAGCGGGGAGCAGGGTCCAGGAAGGGCTGGGCTGGGGGCAGCAGCCCCTTGGGCCTGCATGTTCAGGACAGGAGCGGAGGGGAGGGGTGGTGTGAGCGGATGGGAACTCCGCCCACCGGTCTGCACAGGGATGGTTTGGGAGTGGCCCGTGGTGATGGGCACTGGATTGCGGGAGGGGCCAGGAGGAGGGAGTGGGGCTGGGGGCACCCTGGGAAACGCCCACCCTCTCCCCAGTGACAGCCCCCAGGCGGTGGGCGAGGTGGACAAGTGGCTCTCGCGGCTGCACGTGCTGGTGGTGGGGCCCGGCCTGGGCAGAGACGACGCACTCCTGGCCAGCGTGAAGGTGAGGCCAGGTGGGGCACAAAGGGACCCTCAGGACACCCACCAGGGGTGCTCTGCCAGATACTGTGCAGATCTGCAGGGTACCACTCAGAGCGGGTGCCAGAAGGTTACACACACACACACAGGTGATGCTTGGAGCGGGTGCCGGAAGGTTACACACATATACTCTCTCTGCTTGGAGCGGATGCCGGAACACACACACACACACACACACACACACACACACCCGGGTTACGCTCGGAGCGGGTGCCGGAAGGTTACACACATATACACTCTCTCTCTTTCCTCTCTGTACCCTGAGGCCTGTGGACCATGTTCCTTGAACTCAGGTCGTCCCTCACTGTCCTGTGGTCACCTGCTGGCAGACCCGGTTTCCTGGGCCCCTCTGTAGGATAGGAGGATGGGCTCTCGGGGGGACAGTGCAGGGGGCAGCAGCGGGCGCTGTGCGGGTCTGGGCCAGGACATGGGGCCGAGAGTTGGGGCAGGCTCCAGGTTGCCTAAGGTGCCACCACACCCCCCAGGAGTGGTCTCGAGCCCATCTTGCCTCCATCCTTAAGCATGGCCTGCGGCTGCCAGTGCAGCCTGTTTCCAGATGGGCATGATGGGGGACTTGCTGCAGGCACGCACTGTCCTGAGTACTGCCCTAGCCTCTGGGGGCAGCAGGTGGCCCTGGACCTGGTCCTCGCCCTGGGCAGGGTTGGCTGCCGCAGTGGCTGTGAGGGGGTCTCTTCTTCACAGGGCATTCTTGAAGCCTCAAGAGACCGGGACCTCCCTGTGGTCATCGATGCGGTAACTGTTCTCCCGGGCCCCGGCTGTGTCCCCTGCCTGCCCCGTCACCGCGGCCTCCAGACCCTGTAACCTGTGCTGTCCCTCCCACAGGACGGGCTGTGGCTGGTGGCCCAGCAGCCGGGTCTCATCCACGGCCGCCGGAACGCCCTGCTCACGCCGAACCACGTGGAGTTCGGCCGGCTCTGGGAGGCCGTGGTGAGTGTGCGGGCAGGGCGGGTGCCCGCAAATCAGGGGACTCGGGCAGCCTCGGCATGGCCAGAGCTCTCCCCCGTCTGGGTCCCCAGGAGCCAGTGTGTCTGAGGTCAGCCCGTCTCATCTGCCTGGTGTCCATCCACAGCTGGGGGAGCCCATGGACAGTGGTGGCGATGGTCGTGCGGCTGTGCAGAGACTCAGCCAGGCCCTGGGCAACGTGACCGTGGTCCGGAAAGGGGAGCAGGACGTGATCTCTGACGGCCAGCAGGGTGAGGCTGAGGGTTCAGCAGACAGGAAGTGGGCGGTTCCCAGGGCAGGGGGACACTGGGCATCCACAGCAGCGAGGACAAGGGTGTCCCTGGCTCTGGGGAGGGGCTGACCGCCCATGCTCTCTCGACAGTGCTCGTGTGCAGCCGGGAGGGCAGTGCCCGCAGGTGTGGCGGCCAGGGCGACCTCCTCTCGGGCTCCCTGGGGGTGCTGGTGCACTGGGCGCTGCTCGCGGGGCCTGAGAAGACCCACAGGTATGGTGTGGGTGCCCGGCAGGGGTGGGCGCCAAGCGGGGGGCAGCCTGACCTCCTGACAGCCCTGTCCCCTGCAGCTCCAGCCCGCTGCTGCTGGCTGCCCTGGGCGCATGTGCTCTCACCCGGCAGTGCAGCCGACAGGCCTTCCAGAAGTACGGCCGCGCCACCACGGCCAGTGACATGGTCGCCGAGATCGGGGCCGCCTTCCACACGCTCTTTGAGGCCTGATCCCAATGCCCAGGATTGGGTGAGATCCAGCCCCACACCCAGGCCGCCTGGACTGTGGCATGTGCGCCGTGTCCCTGTGTGACCCCTCACAGGAGCCGCCCTCCTCAGTTGGGGGTGCTGGGGGCCCGGAGGGCGGGGCCTCGCTTCCTCCTGGACGCCCACCCTGAGGACTAAGGGGCTCGGACCCGCGGCCATGAGCACGTGGGGCGTCCAAGTGCTGGTTGCCCCCTCTCCCCACCCCAGGAGATGCATCTGTCCCTGGATCCTGGCCTGGGCGTCCATGCCAGCACCCTTGGATGCTCAGGGCGCCTGGGCCATGAGTGAGCCACGTGGCTGCTCCCAGGACTGCCCAGAGGGCCTCAGCCCAGTGGACAGGGAGTGCCGGAGAGTCTGGCCGGCTTGGCCTAATAAAGGAGCCCGACTGCCTCTGCCACCCCCCGCGTGTGCTGCACTGACAGAGACACGGACACGGGAAGGACACAAGCTGGGAAGCCACACGGACACTTTAATCGGCAGGTCAGCGGGCCTTGGCCCCACACGGCCTGGGCTGCCCTGCAGGGCCCCTCTGCTCCCGTAGCTCCCAGGTGGAGGTGCTGCTCCGGTCCTGCGGGGAAGCAAGGCAGGGCTGGGGGGAGGGGAAATGCAGCCGTGGGAGGGCGGGGCCAGAGGAGTGGGGTCACAGGGGAGGAGCTAGTGGGGCGGGGCCACGGGAGGGAGGTGCTGAGCTGTGGGCGTGGCCACAACAGGGCGAATGCAGGGCTAGAGCCTCCCCACAGGGCTGGGCTCACCTTGATGTGGACGCCGTGGGTGGCCAGGCCCTGGCGCAGGGCATCGCAGGCCTCCAGCAGCTGTTGTCGCGGGGCATCCCCGGGGGCCAGCCCAGGACCCAGGGCGACCTGGCGGACGTGGCCCCGGAAGCGGACCAGCTCCTGCAGCACACCGTGCAGGGGGGCCGCACTGCTGTCCCCCACTACACGCTGCAGGTGGGGGGTTGGGAAGAAGGGGGGCACGGCTGAGCCAGTGGGCACAGCCCTGGGAGCCCCCGCCTGCCTTATCCCCCCACCCTACTTCCCATGATACACCCGTCCCCTGCCCCCTAGCTGTGGCCTTTGCTCCCCACGCCATCTGGGTCAGGCCACACACCACGTGGCGAGATGAGCCCAACACGTTTGAAGGGGCAGTGGCTGCAGGCTGCACCATCTCCAGTAAGACATGCAGGAAGGCCAACAGCCCGGGCCAGTGAAGGAGCTGGACCTCCACTGCGGCCCAGAGGGCAGGTGGTTGCCACATCCACACCCTGCGGGCACTGCAGAGGAACCCACCTGCCCTGCAGCTAGGGACACTCCCAGCATCTCGAAGAAGTCCTCCACAAAGGACACAATGGAGCCGAACACGGCCGCGCTTCTGGGGCCTCCGGGCTCCTGCGGGCCATGGACATGGGTCACTGGCGGGGACCAGGGCAGCCCAATGTCCAGCCCCCACGGCCTGCGGCCTCCCTGCTACCATGGCTCCAGGCAGCCCCAGCATCCGGCCCTACTGCCTGACCTTCCCTACCTTGGCACGGGCCTGCAGCTGCCGGTTTCCGTGGCGGACCAGCTCCATGACAGTGCCCAACGCCCCGGGTATGTTGAAGTCGTCAGCCAGGGCTGCCCTCACAGCCTCTCTGGTGCAGCTGAGGCTGCAGGGGGACACAGGAGTGACATACATGGGGCCCGGCCCCATAGCCGGGCAAGCTACTAACGTGCAGGCACACAGGGTGTGTCTGGGCTCCCGTGGGAGACGCCTGCTCATGCCTGTGGGCCTGTCCCAGACTTGCCAGGAGCGGCTGCCACCCAGGCAGTTTGCAGGCAGTGCACCTAGGGCTGTAGACAGTGTTCCCTGCACTGCCCGCTGGCCTGCTTGCTCCCACCTGTGAACTGAGCTCCCTGTCTCCCGGTCTGGGTGACCCTTCCACCTTGTCCTGTGTCACAGCCACTGGGGACCCACATCTGGGCTGTCCCACCCACAACCCTGCCCACCTGCCCCAGAGCTCTGCCTCCTGGACTGGCCCGCACACCAGCTGTCCCCGCATGTAGGCCCGGGAGTCTTCCAGGAAGGCGGTCACGGCCAGCAGGAGGCGCTGCGCTTCCAACACGGCAGCGTCACTGTAGTCCACGGCTGTGGGGGAGGGGTGCAGTCAGGCCTCGGCTCAGTGGACACAGAGACAGAAGACATACGGCACACCACAGGGCAGGGTGCGGGTCTGTGGGCACATGGGGCCATGCCCAGCTCTGGGGCACAGAAGGAGGGACACGACCTGGGGGTCCTGCCCTTTCAGGGGGGAGGGTGCCCACCTCTGCTCAGGCCCACCCATGGCTGCACCTCGGACACACTGCCATGAGCCCACCCGGGTTGGGGCTGAGGAAAGCACCTGTCCCGCGCCCTCACCTGCCCGGTAGCTGGTCCGCATGCAGAAGAGCCTGAAGACGTCCGGCGAGCAGGTTTTCAGGAAGTCCTGGAGGGACACAAGTGCCCACACTTGGGCCCACAGCTCCCACTGGGAGTGTCTGCCCTGATGCTGCTCCAGGGGCCGGGTCTGGCTGCACTGCCATTGGGACAGTCACTCTGGTGACTGGGAGGGTCTCACAGGAGGGGACACAGCTCCTGGTTTGGGGCACTGGGAGCAGGAAAAGGAGGGAGGACTCAGGCCCTCCCTCCAGTGGCCCCACCAGGGCCGTCCATTTCCTGGACAGTTGGGGGTGGGGTGACTGGATGTCCCCATCCACCCTGCGCTGTGATGCATGACAGTGGGTGCAAACACACTCGTTGTGCCCAGGCTAGGACTCCGTATTTAAGGATCATGTCCTGGGGCCAAGCCAGAGATGCCCAGCACTGACTCCTGGCTCAGCACTCGAGGATCATGCCTGGGGGTCCCGGGCACCACCAGAAGTGACTCCTCCTGAGCACTGCTGGTGCCCTGCCTGCCCCAAGGCATGATCCCCCCACTGGCCCCTTCCTACACATCTGCTCCCATCTTGCCACCTGCCCCTGAACACCTGCCTCGCCCCCCTACACCTGCTTCCCCTCACCTGTTCCCAAACAAACCAAGGAATCGCAGCCTAAGGCCTCAAGTACCTGCCATTCCCTCCGTTTCCCCCAAAGCTGATGGTACCCCAGTCCCACAACTCCCATGGCTGTGCTTCCTCCATCGGGGGGGGGGGCGGGGGTCCCCACTCCAGGGGCCACTGCTCCCATCAGATGTAGGAGCACCGCATCCGGAAGGAGGGAAACAGGATGCAGCAGGGAGGGTCTCAAGCCCCCTTGCTCCCAATGCCATGCAGAGAAACGGCGGGGCAGCCAGCCAGTACCAGCTCTTGCCCCCAGATGGCGCGGCAGGGCCAACAGAGGCGTTAAAGCGGCCCAGGGACCGCAGTTCCCTGCGGCGCCGCCAGGTGGAGCCACTGGGACGCGGGCAGGGACCAGTGTCCAGCCAGCGCTCCGCATGGCCCCTGTCGCCCAAGGCCACTGCTCTGCCCCCAGGAGGACCATCCCTGACTGACTCATCAGGTGCCCGTGCCCAGGGAACCAAGCCTCTCGTGGGGCCTGCTGGGTCCTCAGGGCGCTGTCTGGTGGGACACCGAGCCTTGCCCGCCCCAAGGCCTGATCCCCCCACCAGCCCCTTCCTACACACCTGCTCCTGCCCTGCCACCTGCCCCTGCACGCCTGCCTCGCCCCCACACCTGCTCCGCCCCTGCACACCCATTCCCCGCCCTCCATACGTGCTCCCTGTGCACAGGCCTTGGTGCAGAGGATGGGTCTGGGGGAGCCCGCCCAGCCTAGTTCCTGCCCCTCCTACCCTCTCTGTAAAACGCCTTTGCCGGCAACAGGGTCCCCAGGCCTCTGGGGAGCAGACTGTCCCCAGGTGCCCCTCGACCTGGAGTTGAGACGCAGGACACAGGTGCAGATCATGGGCACACCAGGTGCGGCCCGGCCTGGCCCACTTTCCTTCCAGGAGAGCGGAGTAGCCGGAGCGCACCGTCCCTCCTGCGGTTCCCTGTGCCCGGCCCTGCGGCTCACCGTCCGCCCCATGGCCAGAACGACAGTGGCTTCCTGCCAGCCCGGCAGGAGCGGCGACCCCCACACGCCTGTCCCCGTGCCCATGGGCCCAGCGTGTCTGGCGAGCATGACCTAGCACATGTCAGCACCAGCCCGGCACCGAGAGCCTGGAGCACTGCGCAGGGCCCGACACACAGCCAGCACCAGCATTCACGGCCACACGGGGGCGGGGCAGGCCCATCAGAACCACCCTCAGGCCTCCAGAACCCATGGCCTGAGCTATAGCACGAAGACCGCCAACAGGGAGGGAAATTCCCCGACTCAGCACAGGGTCAGGAGACAGGTGTGAGGAGAGAGGGCAGGCGTGAGGGCAAGTGTGAGCAAGAGAGAGCAGGAGGCGGGGAGAAGCCCAGTGGGTGGCCGCAGCACCTGTCACCTTAATGGTGATGTAGTTTTTCAGGGACTTGGACATCTTCTCTTCCTGGCCTTTCACGTGCAAATGTCCTGAAACAGAAGCAAAGGCAGGGCTCGGTCTGGGGCTCCTGACTCCTGTCCTGAGCCTGGACCCCGGGTGGCCTCACGCACTCAGCATGACAACTGCCTTGCAGGCCTTGGCACTCAGGACACTCACACCTCCCCCACTGGGGGTTCTAAATCCTCAGGTGGGGGGGGGGGCAAAACAGCCTCGGGCCCCAGGGCACAGCGGCAGGAGCATGAGGGCAGCCTGGACAGCAGATCCCACTCGGACACAGGTCAGCGGAGGCCCCCAGAAGGCCGACAGCATCCAGGAATGCAGGGAGTCTGAGGTGGCTGCCAGGGCTCCTGGGGAGCCTGAGCCCCAGACAGGACTCCACACCTTGCACCGGCCACTCACCCGAGGAGCCCTGCAAAGGCCGGGCTCCACCCAGGCAGGGGGGGACCCGGCACCGCAGTCCCGGGAGCACTGAGGGCACCTTGGCCACAGGAGGGCGCGGGAACGCAGAGGGGTGAGGCCCGCCACAGCCCAGACAAGGCGGAGGGGAGCCGCCAGGCATGCCAGAGGGCCCTGGAGACCGGGGCACCCCCCACACCCCCAGTCACTGGCCCTCACCGGAGTGCAGGAAGTAGTTCCCCCACTGCTGGCACCCGTGGTAGACCTCGCACTGCGCGATCTCGTTCTCGTGGTGCGGGAAGGCCAGGTCGCTGCCCCCCGAGTGGATGTCCAGGTGGCTCCCGAACACCAGGCTGCGAGACACGCGGGACCCACGTCAGGGGCCAAGCAGCCCTCCACCCTACTCCCAGCCTTCCTGCACCCTGGGCCACGAAGGAAGAAGCGAAATACAAACGCGCTCCTGGTTGGGGCCGTGCCTGGCTGAGGACTCAGAGGGTCCCTGGTGCGCAGGGGCTCGAGCTCGGACCCCAGCGGGGCCGCTGTCTGCCAGCCCAGAACAGGACTGCGAAGGCATTTTCTGTTTCCGTTTTAAAATGAGCACAACCCCTCAGGGCAGGGTGTGAGAGGCTGTGGTGCTGCTAGCACAGTCCCGGCTTGACCACTCGCAGCCACTGCCCCCGGCTGCTGAGTCCTGCCCGCCCGCGTCCAGAGGTAGTGGGGGTCACTCGGGGCTTCCCCGGCAAAGCTCTGGGCTCACTCCTGGAGCAAGACTGAGCCCTCCAGCCCCAGTTTCCTACTGCCCGGGGCAGGGCCCAGTGGTGCCGTCACGGGGGCACGGAGACCCCAGCCCAGGCCCAGAACCTGAGCCCTGGCACCGCCCGTGAGACTCACATGCCCACCCTCGGGGATGTTCCCACCCCCTGGCACCTGCAGAGGGTGGAGCACTCGATGTGCCAGCCGGGCCTCCCGGGCCCCCACGGGGACGCCCAGTGCACCTCCCCGGCCTTGGCCGCCTTCCACAGGGCGAAGTCGCTGGCGTGCCGCTTGTCCGAGCCCCCTGCAACGACAGACAGCCATGAGTGGGACAGACGGATGGACAGGCTGAGGGAGCTGCAGCCGAAAGGGGAGGGAAGGCCACGGCATCACCTCCCACACCCACGGGCGCCACTGCCCACACCCCCCTCTGCGGGGCCCACCCTCCTGCCCCAACTGTCCGTCCTTGGGCCCCTGCCCTGTCCTCCTGTCCCTCCCGCAGGGCCTGTCCCATCCTGCCCCTTGCACATAGCAGGTTGCGTGGACCCATCCAGCCCCAAGCCTCGAACCCATGCGCCAGAGCTGCAGCGGCTCTGGGCAGTGGTCACGCCGGGCAGGAGCAGAGTGGAACCCACTGGCCACATGGCCAGCGGCTGAGAGTCTGGGGGGGAGCGCAGGGGTCACACACCTGGCTCCCCGTCCGTGGTGGGGCGGCCAGCGCCCAGCTTGCCATACCGCTGCGCCCTGGACTGCACGTCGAAGTACACGTTGCCTGTTGGAAAAGGGGCGCAGGAGCACCGGGCCGGACTCCGACTCAGACCCGGAGCCTGAGGTGGACCCTGTCCCGAGCACTGTGGCCTCCCGGCACCAGGCGCCAGATCTGCCCTCCACGGGGCCCCATCCAGAGGGCTTAGGGGACGGAGCGTCCACCCTACCTTCCGCTGTGGGATACGCGTGCCCCTTGGCCACGATGGCCGCTATGAAGGCGACGATCTCGGGGATGTGCTCGGTGACCCGCAGGTACAGAGTGGGCGGGAGCACCTGCGACACAGGACAGGGATGGGCTCCCTGCCCTCACGGCGCACCCCACCTGCCCGCCCTACCTTCAGTGCTGCCATGTCCTGCTTGAAATCCTCCTCGTATAGGCCGGCAAGGGAGGCGGGGGACACGTTCATCTGCAGGGCAGACGGGGGATGCTCGCATGTGAGGGCGGGGGTGCCCTGTGCAGCCTTCACAGCAGACCCTCGCGGAGGCTCTCACCAAGCCACCACCCTCGTGGAGGCCTGAAGACCATGAGAGCGCTCGGGCATAGCCCCAGCGCCAAGACAAAAAATGGGGCTAAGTTTTCTGGTTAGGGAGAAGTAAGCACAGGCTGACTGCCGGTACCCTGACCCAACGCCACATCCACCAGTGGGGCCTGGCTCTGCCCCACAGACAACACAGTGTCAACAAAGGGATGGGCTGGAGAGGAACAGAGAAGGCTGGAGAGGGACAGAGAAGGCCGGAGAGGGCGGCTCGCGCCAGCTGTCCCGGGCAGGACACTGCTGCAGGCGGGAGCCGCCTCAAGCCAGCATCGGGAGGGCCAGCAGGCACGGGTCAGCGTCTCCGCTCCGTCCTTCCACAGGGCCCTGGCTCGGCCTTCCCCAACCTCAGCACCCCAGGGTCCCTCACCCCTGCTGTGCCCCGGGCCCTGGGATGCCCCTGCCAAGCTGCATGACTCCAGAGGGGGCGTCCCAGGGGCCTGGTGCCGGAGTGGTTGTGCTGTGCAGTGGCCCCGAGACCGCGCTGCCCCTCATGTCCTGTGCTCGCTCCTGCAGGCCGGGCTGGGCCTCCTTTCCCCGCACGGTGTCCCCCTCTGCCTCGGGCCTGGCGAGACAAGGCTTCGGGGCGGCCCTCCCCGCGTCCTCACCTCCCGGGCTCTCCGGATGATCTTATCGTCCACGTCCGTGATGCCCATCACCATGACGACATTGCAGCCGAACACCCGGGTCAGGACCCTCCGGATGAGGTCAAAGCGCACGTAGGAGCTGTGGCAAGACATGTAGCCTGTCCCCGCGCCAGGGAGGGCGGCACGAGGCCCGCCCCAGCCCCTGATCCCCGCGCTGAGTGGGAGGTCCACGGCGCCATCTCCCACCACACAGGCAGGCTGCAGGGGACCACTTGCCGTGCCTGCACTGCCCCCAGCTCCACACACCCTCCAAGGCCCCGACAGGGCACGCCTCAGCCGGATACGGGCTGGGAAGGGTTAACCCGGACGCAGGTGGCAGGGCAGACTGGAAGGGACAGGGAGTCCAGGGGAGATCAGAGGAGCACCCAGGGGTGGGTGCAGGAACGAGGCCCGCCCAGGTGTGGAGCAGAAGTGGCCCCGCCCCCCCACTGTCAGGCCCAGCTGGTCAGTCTCCCACCCCTCGGCGGGCCTGGCAGTGCTGGCGCTGGGAGACCCCCTGGCCCGGACTCCCCCAGCCCTCCCCGTGCCGGGAAACACCCCCTTGGAACGCAGGGGGGAGGGGTCAGGCAGAGCTCCGCGGGGAGACACGTCACGAGGCGTGGGTCCTCCCCAGCGCGCCAGATACAAACTGTCAAACCCAAGCTGGGCGGGAGAGGGAGGGCGCGGGGAGGAACCCGGGGTGCGCCCTACACCCTTCGCAGGCCCCCGCCCGCCTCGAGCACAGGGTGCAATCCCACCCGGGGCTCCGGCGTGCACAGTGCGCCCCGACGCCCCCCGAGCCGGGCACTCACCAGGCGTGGCCGAGGTGCGCATGGTCGTAGACCGTGGGTCCACAGCTGTACCTGCGAGGGTGGACGCACAGGTGACGCGACCCTGGCCCTGGAGGCGCATGGTCTGGGACTGCGGGGGTCAGTACCGGGCGGCTACCAAGAGGCGGCGTCCGCGCTGCCCACGACCAGGCGCTCCTTGCTGCGGCTCAGGCTGTTGTACACCGTGACGCCCGTGTCGTGGCCCGCGGGCTGCAGCCAGCCGGGCCCGCGCGCCCCCGACGCTGCCCGGCCCGCGCCCGGCCCCGGGCCCCGAACCCGCCCCGCGCGCAGCAGCTGCAGCCCGCGCGCCCACTGCATGACCGGCTCACGCCCGCATGGAGCATGCGCGGCGCGGGACACGCCCCCGGAAGGACCGCCCACCGCGGGGTACCGCCTACCCGGAGAGGCGGGGCGAGACACGCCCCCGGAAGACCCTCCCGGTGCGAGCAAGGCCCCGCCCACGGGAAGGGGCCGGGCGGGGCGGGACACGCCCCCGGAAGGCCCGTACCAACTACCGGAAGGGGCGGGGCGTCGGGCCCTGGGCGCTGTGAAACGTTGCTCTCGTTCTGCGCTCTCGCCCGGCCCCCCCAGCGCCTGCCTCGGAAACCCGGCGCACCCCTGCACCCCACGCGCGGCGGCTTTGCACCCAATAGAGCCCGTCGTCCCCGCAGGACTCGCGGGAGGCGCCCGCCCACCCGGCCACGGGCTCTAAACGCCTGTCCGAGCGCTGGTGGCCCCGGCACGCATGCCTGCACCCGGGACGGTCTGTGGAGGCTGAGCTGGCAGTCTCCGCGTGCGCCATACCTGCTTGGTAGAAAAGGCTGCGTTGGGATTGATTTTAAAATGAAAGGTTTAGGGGCTGGAGAAATAGCACAGCGGGTAGGGCGTTTGCCTTGCACGCGGCCAACCCGGGTTCGAATCCCAGCATCCCATATGATCCCCTGAGCACCGCCAGGGGTAATTCCTGAGTGCAGAGCCAGGAGTAACCCCTGTGCAGAGCCAGGTGTGACCCAAAAAGCCAAAGTAAATAAATAAAATGAAAGGTTTAAAATTCTCTCATGTCTTCAGCAAACAAATCTTTCTGAATTGCAGTTTACTTAACTGCTTTAGAATTACCTCCACACACAGTCATTTACCTGTTAGCTTGCAAAACAGTTTCTTAAACCCCAGTTTCAACACAGATCCCTTAGGGTTTATTTGTTTGTTTTGCTTTTTGGGTCACACTCAGCAATGGTCAGGGGTTATCCCTGGCCCTGCACTAAGGAATTATTCCTGGCGGAGCTTGGGGGACCAGATGGGATGCCGGGGATTTAACCCAGGTCGGCCGTGTGCAAGGCAAATGCCCTACCCGCTGTGCTATCGCTCCAGCCCCTAGATTCCTTAGGTTTTGAGGGTCATTTTGGTCATTTTATTGTAAGACAAAAATATACACAGCACTGTAAATTACACCCCCATACCCCCATCACCACCCCCACCGCACCAACCCTAAGGTCAGAGAGGTAGTACAGTGATTAAAGCACCTGCCTTGCACCCAGCTCACCAGATTGAATCCCTGGCGCACATCTGGTTCTGTGGACTGGTAAGCATGAGCCCTGAGCACTGGGCCCAAAGTCAGCTGGAAGCACTACATGGTGTAACTCCCAAACAAAAACAGCAGTATCCCCCCACCTCCAAGATCCCTGGACTTCAGGGATTGCTTCCAGCTAACGCATAATGTCATTTGCATTGTTCAGGGCTAATAGCACCTCTTGTTCAGAACTGAGACTCAGCCACGTTCCTGGACTACTCAGTTCCAGCAAGAGGAGTCCTTTCTTGGTGTACCTCCGTTATTTTGTAACCCTCTCTCATTTCTGATGCAAAATGTACACTTCCCTGAGTACATGAGGCTGTCAGCTGTGGAGGCTTTGGCCTTTTTTTTTCTTTTTGTCTTTTTGGGTCACACCCAGTGATGCTCAGGGGTTGCTCCTGGCTCTGCACTCAGGAATCACTCCTGGTGATGCTCTGGGGACCATATGGGATGCTGGGGATAGAACCTGGGTTGGACACGTGCAAGGCAAACGCCCTACTGACTGTGCTATCGCTCCAACCTAGAGGCTCTGGCCTTCGGCTGCTCCCCTCCCTGAGTTCAGAGAGGTTTTTGAAGGTCACTGGATTTGCCTTGATGAAAGGGCCTGACGTGCAGTAGGACAGGCAGTAAAACTCCTGCTAGAAAAACCTCAGGTTCAGGTAAGTGAGGTGCCAGGAGTTTCATATTAATGGAATGGACCCCGGAATGGAATGGCGTCGGCGAGGACACCATTCATACCCAAAGAGTTCCCTACCACTGGCAGGAATGATGCCTGAGTCAAGAGCGGGAAAGCCTAAAAGCGTTACTGCAGAATGCAATCCTGCCCAGGAGTCCTCGGGGCTCGTCTAACTCACCACCACCACTGCAGTCCAGTCAAGCTGTGATGTCTCATGTTCAGAGAAATGGACGTGTGATGTCACAGCTCTTAGTTGCAGCAAGGCTACCTTTATGTTCATTTATTCACTTTTTTTGGGAGCAGGGGCCATACTTAGTGCTGCTCAGGATTCACTCCTGACTCGGTGCTCAGGAATCACTCCTGACGGGGTTGGGCGGACCATATGCAGTGCCAGGGATTCTACCTAGCTGGGCGTCAAGCAAGCGAGTGCCCTGCCCAATAGCCGTTCTGTCTTTCTGACCCCAAGACTACTCTTGACTTTTTTTTTTTTTTTTTGCTTTTTGGGTCACACCTGGCAATGCACAGGGGTTACTCCTGGCTCTGCACTCAGGAATTACCTCTGGCGGTGCTCAGGGGACCATATGGGATGCTGGGAATTGAACCTGGGAATCGAACTTGGGTTGGCCCGTGCAAGGCAAACGCCCTACCTGCTGTGCTATTGCTCCAGCCCCCTCTTAAGACTTTTTTGAGAATCATTGCAATGATGAAGGCCAAAAAGAGAGTAACTTGGGTAGGGCATTTTCCTTGCATGCAGTTCATCCAGGTTCAATCCCAGGCACCCCAAAGGGTCCCCTACTACTGGCAGGAATGATGCCTGAGTGAAGAACCAGGAATAAGCCCCAAGCACTGCTGGGTGTGTCCCCCAACCCAAACATAAATGACAGATGCAGCCCGTTGTTTATTTGTTTTGGTTTGGGGGCCACATTCAGCAGTGCTTACTCCTGGTTCTATGCCAAGAGATCATTCCTGGCAGAGTTTGGGGGACCCTGTGCGGTGGTGGGGACCAAACCTGGGCCACCCTTTATTTAATGATGGTTGAAAATATCCCTTTTATGGATCACATTAAGGTAAACTTAGTATGATTAGGAAGATTCATATATATATATATATATATATATATATATATATTGTGTGAGAGAGAAGCTTGGTAACTAGACAAGACTCTTCCAGCGTAAGGTCAGAACAAACGCGTCGAAGTTAATACATGTCAGAGCACAGGGATCACATAAAGGGCTTAAGTACATAATTTATGTCTGGGAGGCCTGGCCTTGACCCCCAGCACTGTGTGGCACGGAGCTGATAGCCCCTAGCATGCTAGAAATGACTCTCAAGACTAATGCACACTCAAGGCCTGGGGCAGTGGCAGTGGCCAGAGCCTCCGGCTTCCCAGTCTGAGGTCCAGACCCTGGTCCAGCCCACTTGCTTCCCCCTCTGCTGTCTGGGGGGGAGGCACCTTTCATACCCACAACAACAAATGTGCTTTCTCCAACTCACCACAGCTGGTGTTACAAACCACCTCAGTGCTGTATCTGGAAGCACCCCAGCAGGTACTAACCATGGAGCAAGCCCAGGAAGTACCCCAGCAGGTACACAGCATAGAGCGAGCCTGGGAAGTACCAGCAGGTGCTCACTGTGGGGTGAACCTGGGAAATACCCTAGCAGGTACTCAGCACGGAGCAAGCCTGGGAAGTAACCCAGTAGTACTCACTGTGGAGCAAGCTAGGGAAGTACCCCAGCAGGTACGCAGCATGGAGCAAGCCCGGGAAGTATTCTAGCTGGTATTCATTGTAGAACAAGCTCAGGAAGTACCAGCAAGTACTCACTGTGGAGCAAGCCTGGGAAGTACTCCAGCAGGTCCCAAATCTGGAGCGAGCTCGGGAAGTACCAGCTAGTACTCACCATGGAGCAAGCCTGACAAGCACCAGCAGGTACTCACTGTGGAGCGAGCCCAAGAAGTACCTCAGCAGAGATTCACCATGGAGCAAGCCCTGGAAGTACCAGTTGGTACTCACCATGGCGAGCCCAGGAAGTACCCCAGCAGGGACTCACCGTGGAGTGAGCCCAGGAAATACTAGCAGGGGCTCTTGGGTCAAGTGTGAGCCCCAGGACCTCATGTGCCAGTGCAGCAGCTCCCAGAGTTGGGGTCACACAGTGGAGTATGTGACGTGCTGTGTGAAGCATATTAGTGGAGACCGGAAGGGCGTTTGCCTTGCACAGACCGACCCAGGTTGAATCCGGACACTCCATATGGTTCCATCCACAGCCAGTGCAGAGCCAGGACTAAGCCCCTAGCTGGGTGTTTGGTAAATAAGATAAAAAGTGTGTTAGTTTCCTTCCTAACAGAGGGATGTGTTGGCATTAATTTTAAACAACTCAAAACTCAATGAATGTGCAGGTAGGGCGTTTGCCTTGCATGCGGCCGAGCCAGGTTCGATTCCTCCGCCCCTCTCGGAGAGACCGGCAAGCTACCGAGAGTATCCCGCCCGCATGGCAGAGCCTGGCAAGCTCCCAGTGGCGTATTGGATATGCCAAAAACAGTAACAACAAGACTCACAATGGAGATGTTACTGGTGCCTGCTTGAGCAAATCGATGAACAACAGGATGACAGTGCTACAGTGCTACAAAGAATGTATGTTTATGGGCCGGACCCATAGTACAGCAGGCAGGGCACTTGCTTGTATGCCACGGACCTGGGTTCAATCCCAGCACCACAGATGGTCTCCTAAACCTGCCAGGAGAGACCAGTCAGCAAGGAGTAAGCCAGGAGTAAGCCTGAGCACTGCCAGATGTCGCCCCCAAAAACAAACAAAAAAGAATATATGTTTAACTCTGATGTTTTAATTCCATAGGTTCAAGCATCTCCAGGTAAATGAGAAATAAAATTTTAGGACAAATGTTTAACATTTTTTTTTTTCAGCACACTTCAAAGAACAAACGGAAACAACCAAGATTATTCAGAGCATCTCTAAAACGAAAGGTTTTCTTACAGCTACACAGGCTGGAGAGATTCAGGGCGTAAGGCACTTGGCAGGGGGCCAACCCTGGCAACAAAGAGCCAGGAGAAGCTCCCGGCACCACTAGGGCCCCAACTCCCGGCCCCAATAATGAAATAAAATGTAAATTGTAAATCGAGTTCGTTGTTTTATCAGTATTTCAACCTTGTGCAGAAAACTATCAAGTCACCAGTAAGTATTTTAAGAACTTTGAAAGACTAATAGAAAATGTCTATTAGTTCAGTGTTCAGTGAGCTAAATCCCAGTTCAGTGGTTGAAGTTAAATACTTCTCAGAAGTCCTGTGATCCCTGCTTCTACAGCCGAGCAGGGAGCTGGCACAGGCCCTGGTGAGTAAGGTGCTTCTAGGTTTGCTGCTGGTGAAGGGGATCGTTACTCAGATATTATCAGAATGTTTTCAGAGATAATCTAAGTCAACTCTGGCTCAATTTGTCATTAGAAGAGTGAACTGCGCGTAATCTTTATTCTTAAATTCAGATAAACATTACTGTTCATTCCAGAGCCAATAAATTCAGCATTTTCTTTCTCGCTATTTTTTCTCTTTTTGATTTTTGGGCCACACCCAGGGGCGCTCAGGGACTATTATTCCTGGCACTGTGCTGTGCTTTGGGGGGCCGTATACCATGCTGGGCTCTGACGGGCTTTAGTTGTGTGCAAGTTCGGCGGCTTAACTGCTGTGCTAACTCTCTGGCCCTAGTGTTATTTCATGCTTCAATGTTCATACAAAGGAAAAGCATACTTTTTCTTTGTTAGCTTTGTAACTTTCTCTCTATTCCGTGTACTTGTTTTCACCTAAGGTGAAATAGTCCTAACAGTCTTCTTGTGAAGAATAGAGTGCAATCAACTGTTCTGTACAACATGAAGCTTTTCTCCTTTCCTGTTAACTGGACCAAGTCCAGCAATGTGGATATATAAGAAGAATCTACACACACACACACACACACACACATATATATATGTATATATATATATATATACACGTGTATATATACACACACACACACACACATATATATATGCTTTTTGGGTCATACCTGGTGATGCACAGGGTTTACTCCTGGGTGTGCTGGGGGACCATATGAGATGTTGGGGATAGAATCTGGGTTGGCTGCGTGCAAGGCGAACGTCCTCCCCGCTGTCCTGTCGCTCCCGCCCTACGCCCCTATTTTAAATTCAAATGAGTGTTCCCCAGGTGTGGGGAGGTCGAGGCTCAGCGGAGAACAAGTCTGTTATGGCTAGGTGGACACATTAGTGTCAATTGACCGGGGCAGCAACGTCCCGATGCAGACGATCCATCTCACAGTATAGCGCAGCAACCCCCCCCCCCCCGCCCGCCCCCCGCCGCATTGCCGCGGGGGCCGGACCTCTGGGGGCCACACCGGACGCTGGACAAACGGCCCCCGACCTGGAGACCGAGGCTGCACGCCGACGTGTGCGCGGGACCGACGTGTGTGCAGCCGCACCGAAACTGACGCTTAGGTGCAAGCGCGTGACAGCACGGCCGCCCTGCCCGGCGCAGGGACGCCCGAGGGCACTCCAGGGGCGCCCTGGACGAGACGCCCGCCCTGCAGGGACGCCCGAGGGCCCAGCCTGGGGCAGGGATGCCCGAGGGCCAGCCCAGGGCTGCAGGGACGCCAGGGAATCCCACCGGGGACAGACGCCCGAGGACCAATCCCGGGGGCAGAGACGTCCGGGGGCTGGCCCGGGCTGCAGGGACGCCCGAGGACCTCCCTCCCCGGAGCAGGGACGCCCGAGGACGGCCCCCTCCCTGGAGCAGGGACGCCCGGGGGCCCGCCCGGGGCTGCCCGGCCGTGAGCCCGGGGGTGGGGCCGCGGGCGGAAGGGGCGGGCCCTGCGGCTGTTGCTAGGCGACGGCCGCGCTGCGCTCAGGGGCTTCTCCTCAGGCGCCCCCGAGTACGGGTGCGCAGGTCGCCGCGAGAAGTGGGGGTCGGGGCAGGGCCCGCGGAATGGCGGGAGCGTCTGATGCGCGTGGGCCCTGGGACACGCGCGGGAGGGCCCGGCCCCGCAGCAGACCCCAACCCGGGACCCTTTGTCTCGTAAGCACCAGGGCCCAGCGGGGCGGGCGACACAAAGGGCGGGCGGGGAGGACTGCGCAGGCGCGGGCGCCGCGGGGGCTGCTGGGAGTGGTGGTCCCGCCGCGGCAGACGGGCTCGCATGCGCATGCGCCACCACTTCCGCTCCGCGGAGCCCGCCCCAGTCCGCCCCTCCCTCTGGTGGACGCAGGTTTCTAGTAGTAAGAACCGGCGAGGTCTCCGCGTTCGCCCCGCCTCCGCCCCACCCTGATTGGGCGGGCGATGTGGCGGAGCAGCTGGGTTGGCTGTCGAGGCTGCCAGTCGATCCCGGGCCCTACTTATGCTCCCGCGCGGCGGGCCCGAGGGAGTGAAGCAGTGAGCAGAGGGAGGCGGAGGCCGCGCCGGAGGAGCCCCGGTGCCGGCGGCCGGGCGGCGGGCGGGGCCGGCCGGACTCGGCAGGCCGCGCCCTCGCCTCCTCCGAGAGCGCCGCTCCCGGCCCAGGCCGCGCGACCCCCACCCCAGCCCCAGTGACAGACAAAGCCACACCCCCCGCGGGCCGGGCCGGTGAGGGGCGTGACGCGGCGGGGGCGGGGCCCGCGGGGGCTGGCGCGCATGCGCGCTGCGGGGGCCCGAATGTTTCCCAAGTGTTTGAAACTGGTATTTGGGTTTTCCACGTTGGACGAGCGCGCTGCGGCGGGCGGCGCGCGCCCCTTCCCGCCGCTCGCTCGGCCGCGGCCCCGGCCCCTGCCCGCCGCCGGGCTGCGCGCCCGCCCGCGCCGCTCCCCGGGCCCCGGCGGCGCGGGGCCGGCCGGAGGGGGGGCGCCGGCGGGCGGGAGCTTTGCATTTTGCAGCGCCGAGCTCCGAGGGGGCGGGGGCTGCAGGAAGCGGAAAGCCGCGCCGAGCCGCCGGGGACCCGCGGCCGAGCCATGTTGAGCCCTGCCAACGGGGAGCAGCTCCACCTGGCCAGCTATGTGGAGGACTACCTGGACTCCATCGAGTCGCTGCCGTTCGACCTGCAGCGGAACGTCTCGCTGATGCGGGAGATCGACGCCAAGTACCAGGGTACGCGCGGAGGGAGGGGCGGGGGCGGCCGCTGCACCCCGCCGCGACTCGCGGGCCCGGGTCCCGGCGAACAAAAGGTCCGGGCGCCGCGGCCACCAGGTCCCCGCGCCGGAGCCCGGGCGCGGCGCGGAGGGGGACGCGGCAGCCGGCGCTCTTTGTGGTGAGGGGCGAGGCGGGCCTGCGGGGGAGGGCGCGCGGGGGGCGCAGCCCGGGACGGAGGGCGCTGCCCGCCGGCCCCGCGGCGCCCCCTCCGCGCCCCGACCCGAGTGTTACATAAAGTCTGGGGTCGCCGCTGCTGGTCGGGCGCGCCGAGGGCTGGCGAGGGCCGCCGCGGCGGGTGGAGCTGGCGGGGGGCGCGGGGTGGGCGGGACGCTGGGCGCGGGGGCGCCCGGCCAGCCCGGCCCGGGGATGGGGGGGGTACGAGCTGGGGGTGCTTCCCTGCAGAGCCCGCTGGGGTCGGGACTGTTGGGGAAAGTTTCCTGCCGGGCCGTCGTGGGGACGCGGGTCGCGGCGGAGTTTACTCATGTTTACAGGGCTGCGCCGCGGGAAGCGGAAGAGGGCGGGCGCGCGGGAGGGGGGGGGTGGAATCTCGGCGCCCGCCGGGACCGGCAGCCACCCCCCGTGGGAAGGCGCCCCTGCGCTCTGCCCGGGAAGCCGCCTCGCAGCGACTTTTATAGGGGTCTCATTAGCATACTGAGAACGTCCCGCCCCCACCTCCCAGTGGTTGGCCGAGGCATCACCCATAGCATGTCCTTATCGGCCGGCCGCTGAGCTATTGGTTGCCGTGCCGGATGGGGGCGGGCGTTGCCCAGTGACTGGCACGGGCCTCTGCGTCCGCTACCTTTTTTCTCTGTTGTAGAGGGGCGGAGAGAAGGGAAGGGGTCGAGTTGATTTGAATGCCTTAGGGTCACCCGGCCTCCGGCCTCTGATTGGCCTTTGGCGCTGCTCGGGCGGGCCGTGTTTTCGGGCCCTGCGCTGTGATTGGCTTTCCGCCTGGCCACCGCCCTCCCGTCTGGATATCTCCATTGGTGCCGACTCGCGGGGAGGGCGGAGCTCCCGCTGGCCCCCTCCCCATTGGTCAGAGACCGGGCTCCTCCCCTCCGTGGGCCTGTCCCGGCTACTTCCGGCTGGAGTAATGGCGGCGCACGGGGGCTGGGCTGAGGCGGGCGGTCGTGCTGCAGGATGGCCCTGCAGCGCCCACCTGCTGGCTCCACTGGGGGGCAGCGTGAGTGACCCGCGAGCCTGGCCGAGTGGACTGAGCTGAGCAGTTGGCGAACTGGCCGGCGGGCACGGGCAGGTTTACGGCCCCCTCCCCACTCACACCCGCACACGCATGCACATGTAAGCACACGCACATGCACGCTCGCACGCTCACATACATGCACTCACACACAGTCAACATGTATGTTCACGCACCGACACTCTGCATTCAACCGTGCTCACACCCAGACTCATGTTTCTTACATTCATGGCCAGATGCACCACTCACACACACACACACACACACTTAGACATACACTCACACACGCACTCACAAGCAGCAATCATATACGTGCATCCATATGCTCACACGTACACTCACATTTCACTCACACACACTTTTACATTCATGCATGCACTTACACATACATTCACGCATGCACTCACAAACAGCACTCATACATCCATATGCTCATATACATACACTCACACATTCAGTCACACACACTTACACATTCAGTCATGCACTTACACATACACTCATACACTCACAAGCAGCACTCATATACGCGTATCCATATGCTCATATTTGTACACTCACACTCACTCACATATACTCACACATTTATACATTCATTCACGCACTCACAAACAGCATTCATATACTCACATCCATACGCTCATATATATACACACACATTCACTCACACACACACTTATTCATTCATACATGCACTTACACATATACTTATACACACACTCACAAACAGCATTCATATACTCACATCTATATACTCGTATATACGCGAACGCTCACATATTCACTCTGACATACACACACTCAAATTGCCTGTTTGGACACAGTAATTGCCTTATTTTAAGAGTCTGCTAAGGGTGCCAGGAGCAAAGCTGATACCATTCAATTTAATGATTAGACTTAAGGAAAATTAGCTCTGGGAACATGTGTTCATATGTTCTAATAAACCTTTAGCAAGACTTTACTTTCCTCATTTTAGTGGGTTGTTTAACTGCTTTCATTCCTGGAGAAATTGTCTGATTATGTTTTTTTATTTTTTTGGGGGGGGGGGCTGCGCCCAGCGATGCTCAGGGGTTACTCCTGGTGCTGCACTCAGGAATTACTCCTGATGGTTCTGGGGGAACCATATGGGGTGCTGGGATTGAACCCAGGCCAGCCATTTGCAAGGCAAGTGCCCTCCCTGCTGTACTATAGTTCCAGCCACTCTAATTGTGTTTGAAATTTATGTGCACTGTCTTCTGAGCTAAGAAAATTTAATTTTTTAGTTTTGGCCATACTCAGAGATGCTCAGTGGTTACCCTTGACTTGGGGATCAATCCTGGCTGTTTTGGGGGGACCCGCTGGGATGCCGGGAATTGAATCCAGGTCAACTGCGTGCAAGGCAAGTGCCCTCCCCACTGTACTATCTCTTTTGTCCCCAGAAGGTTTAATTTTTAATACTGAGGGTCTTTATTTTCTTTGCAGTGAATTGTTTTTGAAAAAATATTTAGATCTTGATCACTTCTAGGTTACCGTTTTAATCTGTATATGCAAAGTTTGGCACCTTAATTTTAAAGCGAGACCAGGTTACCTGGTGTATGGTCAGCCAGCCTCCAGGGAAATCGAGTAGTGGGAAACCGTGAGCCATGCTGAAACCTTTGTCATAGGAGCATTTTCTTCATTCTCTGATTATATTGGGGACATCAAAGAATAGAAAAGTTTATTATTAAGTTAAAATGGTGAAAATGGGGAGAAAGTCAGTAGGAAATAAAAGTTAAGGCACGAGGGGCTGGAACGATTCCCAGCACCCCATATGGTCCCCTGAGCACCGCCAGAAGCAATTCCTGAATGCATGAGCCAGGAGTAACCCCTGAGCATCGCCAGGTGTGACCCAAAAAGAAAGAAAAAAAAGTTAAGGCACGAGGGCCTTAGCAATAGTACAACGGGGAGGGCGTTTGTCTTGCTTGCGGCTGACCCGTGTTCGATATCCAGCGTCCCATATAGTCCCCTGAGCACTGCCAGGAGTAATTCCTGAGCACAAACCGAGGAGTAACCCCTGCTTGGAAAGGCACAAATACTAACTGAATTGGAACTTCCACCTACTTCCTGCCAGGGTACCCCGAGGGTCTGTCACTTGCACACAGACCCACAGAGAGCCTGGGGTGTACTTTCCACAGGAAAAGGAAAATTCTGGAATGGCCCCAGCTGCAAGATGTCTGTACTAGGAAGCCAGGATGGGCCCTTTCTGTCTTTTGCAAGGATCTGGGCGGTGAAGGGTGCTTCCCCAGGAGTCCAGGGTGATTGCTGCCAGTCCTCAGGCTGAAGGAGTGACTTGCTTGGCCTTGCAGGACCAGGTACCACCGGTGCCATCCAGGGTGCGGGGGACCATGAGGGGTCCCAGATGCTGCTTCAGCGCTGGCCGAGCATGGATGAATGCTTCTCTTCCCCCCTGCAGAGATCCTGAAGGACCTGGACGAGTACTACGAGAAGTTCAAGCGCGAGACAGACGGTGCGCTGAAGCGGCGGGCGCTGCACTGCATCCAGAGGGCTCTGATCCGCAGCCAGGAGCTGGGCGATGAGAAGATCCAGATCGTGAGCCAGATGGTGGAGCTGGTGGAGAACCGCACACGGCAGGTGGACAGCCACGTGGAGCTCTTCGAGGCGCACCCGGAGGTGGGCGACACCCCCGGCGGCGGCAAAGGCGGCCCCGAGAAGTCCAAGAGCGAGACGATAGCGCAGGCCGACAAGCCCAACAACAAGAGATCCCGGCGCCAGCGCAACCACGAGAACCGGGAGAATGCGGCCAGCAACCACGACCACGACGACCTGACCTCGGGGACGCCCAAGGAGAAGCGGGCGAAAGCGTCCAAGAAGAAGAAGCGCTCCAAGGCCAAGGCCGAGCGCGAGGCGTCGCCCGCCGACCTGCCCATCGACCCCAACGAGCCCACGTACTGCCTGTGCGACCAGGTGTCCTACGGGGAGATGATCGGCTGTGACAACGACGAGTGTCCCATTGAGTGGTTCCACTTCTCCTGCGTGGGGCTCAGCCACAAGCCTAAGGGCAAGTGGTACTGCCCCAAGTGCCGCGGGGAGAGCGAGAAGACCATGGACAAGGCCCTGGAGAAGTCCAAGAAGGAGCGGGCGTACAGCAGGTAGTGGGTGCTGCTGCCCGCGGGAGACGCCGGGCCCACGTTTGTGTGGAGCGGACGGCCTGTGCCTCTGCGGCCCAGAGACCACAGCGCAGGGTCGGAGTGAAACGCTCGAGTGGCCGAGACTGATTTTGGGGGGGGTGGGGGACGGGGCTGACTTGGGAACCTAACACATTCAGTGTAAAAAGAGAGATTTCATTTAGCTATTTTATTTTAATAAAAATAATGTTATTACTTTATGGGGGAAATTTTTTTGAATTAGCCAAGTTGCTAAGAATACAGTCCACAGCAAACTTACTTCTTGCTATAATGATGTCTATCCGTATAACAAATCTGATGAAAAGGTTCCAGTTTGAAGATTATTTTTTAAAGAAGTAAAGGCTTAACTTTTACATGACAGACATTTCATATCTGGGCCATTCCCTGAGGGCCATTTTTAAATGAATGGGCACATTTTTTTACGAATCCCAGCAGGTGGGGTCTGCCTCCCGCCCTGCGCTTTTGCCGTGTCCCCCCCACTGGGTGTGTAAATGTTGTGTCCTGTGGGTGGGGCGGCCGTGAGGCGTGTGTGCATGCTGCCGTGAGGCGTGTGGCGCTCGGCCTGCTGCGCTAGCAGTATTTCATTTTGACATTAGTAATTTTTAAATGTTTGTCTTAACAATGTGTACACCAGCAGCTTTGACAAAGCCTTAAGCAAGTTTTGTATTCTCGTCGTCACCTTCCCAGGCCATAGGTGATGCGGGGTCCCAGCAGGTGGGGGTCCCGGCGGCATCCCCTCTCGGTGGGGCTGAGCGCCCTGGGGACCGCCTGCTTCTCTGTGTGGCCCCTGAGTTCACTCGGAGTTCTTTGTTGTTAAACGGTTAAAAACCAATCAGAAAAAGAATCCTGTGACACATGAAAATGATGAAATTCAAATTTCCGTCTCCATAAATAAAGTTTTATTGCACACAGCGGTGCTCGTGGAGTTCTTTCGTGCAACTGCTCCCTGCCTGAGGAGGGCCTGCAAGCCTGTCAGCTTCGGGCTGTCTTGTGCCGTGGCCAGAGCCTCTCTCTGGTCTCACCTGTGGGCTCTGCAGACGCGGGAGACTGGGCACAGCACCCAGCGTCAGAGGCCTCCTGGCATGCGCGTATTAGGGCAGCCCAGTGCGTGGATATTTGGTCTCACTTCATTTAATACTTTTGAGAATTCGTACCAGACTGGACGCCCTAACTTAGCTGCAGTGGTGGCCACTGTGGGGCCCCAGCACCGAAACAATAAACAAACCCCCTGTTGGCAGTGAATTCCCTCTTGGGCAGTGTTCGGCGGGAAGTGTGGGTTGTCCTGGGGTTCGTGTCACGGTGTCGCCTGTCACAGCTCTGCTGCAGTGGCCATTTGCTTCCTGGGCAGAGCACGAACATGTAAGACTCACTCGTGAGTATTCTGCAGGATTTGCCTGTGCAGATCACTACAGGTTCATGCTGTTAAAGACTTACAGTCAGGAACAAGAAAATCAATGGATTTTGGTGTTTGTTTTTGGTTTTTTTTTTTTTGGGGGGGGGTCACACCTGGTGATGTACAGGAGTTACTCCTGGGTTTGCACTCAGGAGTTACTCCTGGCGGTGCTCAGGGGACCATATGGGATGCTGGGAATCGAACCCGGGTCGGCCGCGTGCAAGGCAAACGCCCTACCCGCTGGGCTATCTCTCCAGCCCCTGGTGTTTGTTTTTGATTTTTGCATTTTGGGCCATACTCCTGGCTCAAATCGTTCTGGTGGGCTTGGGGACCATGAGGGGTGTCAGGGATCAAACCTGGGTCTGTTGCATGCAACTTCCCCACTGCCCTCCCGCCCCCAATAACAGTAGTTTTAAAACTCTGCTCTGCATACACCTTTATCCTTAGCTAGTTTTTCATGCACTGTTTAGAGGTAGTGAGGATTCATTTGGAGTGGAGAGTGTATGGGGCTCATCTGTGAGCTCTGATTTGTCTCCTTTGTTAGGTGATAGCTGTGATGGGGGTTGTCACCTCATGGCTGTCCAAGTAAGATTGCCTTTTTGGTAGAGCTGGGAATCGAACCCAGGGCCTTGTGGGAGCAAGGCAAGAACTTTGCCCTCAGCTACTCCCCGAGCCTTTACTGCTGAGTTCAGTCCCTTCTTTGCAGACTTTTCTCTGGGGCTACATCCAGTGGTGCTGTGGATGTAGCCCTTAGACTGTGCTGGGATCCCTCTGGCAGTATTTGGGGTGTCACCCCGAGGTGTCAGGGTGCTTGAGGCCCACAGCCGGGTGCTCGCTCCCTGTCTCTGGTCTTTGGGGCTTTGGGCCTCATCCTGAGTAAGTCGCTTAAGTCCAGATCCAACTGTTTTTTTTCTCCTTTTTAAATTTTTTTTTAAAATTTTCTTAATTTTAAGAGTTCACAATGTTTGATTACATTCAGTATTCAAACACCAGACCCACCACTATTACACCTTCCCACCAGCAAATTCGGGATGTTTCCATCCCAAGCCCCAATCCCTCTCCCAAAACACAAACGAAAAGAATGTATTTTGTATTGTCTGTTATGAAGAACTGCTGAACATGCTTACAAAAAAGTGTTCATATAGGAAGCAGTGTGAAGATCGTTCTGTTTTGGCAGGAGCCATTAAAACATTTCATAGAATCTCACTAACATGTTAAAGTTTGGGTGATGTGAGCTTTGGTATATATGTCTGAAAAATGTGTATATATATGCTTATATATATTTTCCCTCTATGATTTGTTGCCTGCTGTCTGAACCCCATCAGATACGGTGTGGTAATCATGGAGAATGGGTAGGGAATGTCTTAGGATGTGTTGTGCAGTCCAGGAATGTGTTCACTCATGCGTGAGGCTCCGCCTGGGCGTATGGGGAGCTGCCTGGAGCGTGGCGGCGATTGGGTTGTGGAGGTCGGCTGCTGGGGCTGGGTCCCTTGGGGCGGGGAGGGCTCTCACCCGCCCCCCTCTGGGGCACCCTGGGTGAAAACAGCCTGGCGCGGAGTTCAGTGGCATGGTTCTGGGGGCCTCATTTTATGCTCCCTTCCAGGAGAAGCAGCCGTTTGATCTGGAGGGTGGCTGAGATTATCTGGCGCTGGCAAGGAGTGGCTTATGGGGGTGACCCCTGAGTCCCCCGGAGACTGGGGGAAATGGGCAGAGTCAGATCCAACTATTTTATTTTTTTTTTGCTTTTTGGGTCACACCCGGCAATGCTCAGGGGTTATTCCTGGCTCTGCACTCAGGAATTACTCCTGGCGGTGCTCAGGGGACCATATGGGGTGCTGGGAATCGAACTCAGTTCGGCCGTGTACAAGGCAAACACCCTACCCGCTGTGCTATTGCTCCAGCCCCCCAGCTATTGTTTTAAATTTCATTTATTTTTTGGGTCACGCCCGGCGATGCTTAGGGGCGATACTCCTGGCTCTGCACTCAGGAATTCTCCTGGCGGTGCTCGGAGGGGAGGGGTTCATCTGGAATGCGGGGGCCATGGCTGCGTACAAGGCAAACACCCTCTGACTTGTGCTATCGTTCTGGCCCCAGCTCCCATTATTTCCCCTATGGGGGGGGGGGGCGGGGAGAGTCCCACAGGCAGGAGCTTACCCTGTTTATGGCCCACCTGGGTCTGAAGCCCTGCGCCGCGTATTCACATACTCAGCATCGTGCGGCTCAGAAAGGAGGAGTGGAAAGGAGAGTGCAGTGGGCAGGGCGTTTAGCTGCGCATGGCCAGCCCTGCCTCCAGCCCTGGTGCCTCCCGATCCTCGAGCCACAGCAGGAGTGATCCCCAAATACACAACAGCTTTGGAGCATGGGGTGGAGTGGTATCTCGGTGGTCAGCGCCAGCCTCGCCTGTGAAGCCCCGGGGGCCGTCCCCGGCACCACGGAAACTGAGAAACTTGCAGGTAGGTTTTGTTGGGGTTTTCTGGGGGGGGGGGTGCAGTGGTGCTCCCTGCCAGGCTTGGGGATGTGCAGGGCCAGGGTGGGAACAGGGCTGGGCCGCCTGCAGGGGAGGACCAGAAGGGCCGCACCTCAGGCTCGGAGAAAGAATCTCTGGGCAGTGATTTGAACCTGAAGCCTCCCCTGCAGGCCTGAGAGCAGAGCGAGACCTGGGGTCTCCTCAAGGGGCCGTGCGCCTTTTTGCGCCATGATGCTCGCATTGACGAGGCCATGCGCTCTCGGGAGCACAGCGTCCATGGTCAGCGAACACTGGGCGCTTTCACAGAGGACCTGGTCTGCCACACCAGACATGAGGAGACGGCTGGTTCAGTTCACGGAGGCTCCAGAGAAGGCATTCGCAGTGGACAGTCCCCCTTGGACTGGCCACACATAGCAGACCCGGGGCTCTGGACATACTTGGAGGCTCAAGTGCCAGTGAAAAGGGCCGAAGAGGTGGTTCAAGGGTTAGTGCATGGGGGGAGGGGATGGGAGGTGGGAGGGATACTGGGATCAGTGGTGGTGGAAAATGGGCACTGGTGGAAGGATGGGTACTTGATCATTGTATAATTGAAACCCAAGCACAAAAATTTGTACGTCTACAACTGTACCTCGTGGTGTTTCACTAATAAAAATTTAAAAAATTGGGAGAACCAGCCTCTACCTCCCAGCTACATGGTCCCCGGGCACTGCCAGGTGTGGCCCCAAAACCCAAATAAATGAAAGAACAATCTAAAAAAAAAATAGTGATGGGGCTGGAGCAATAGCACAGTGGGTAGGGCGTTTGCCTTACACGCAGCCAACATGGCTGATCCAGGTTCGATTCCCAGCATCCCATATGGTCCCCCGAGCACCACCAGGAGTGATTCCTGAGTGCATGAGCCAGGAGTAACCCCTGAGCATCGCTGGGTGTGACCCAAAAATCAAGAAAAAGAAGTGTGTCTTCACTTGGTGTTTAGTATGGTTTTTGGTTTTTCAGACACACGCAGCGATGCTCAGGGCTGACTTCTGGCCTGTGCCCTGGGGTCGGTCCTGGCGGGCTTGGGGGACCGTATGAGGTGCCAGAAATGGATCCCAGGTTGGTCATGTACAAGACAAGTGCCCTTCACACTGTGCTGTCACTCTGGCCCAAAAGAGTCAATTGAAAAAAAAAAAAGAAAAAGTTAATTTTTT